TCGCTGAGAGTCGTTTTCTGATTGGCTGATGGAGTCATGGAGATGGAAGAGATTTATCCCATCGGTATGTTGTCACCGCGTCGATATCGCCGCGTCCGTCCTGGGGTGCGTTCAGATTCCCTACCCGGGTGCACTCTATTACTAGAAACACTATAGTATATGTTACATATACTATAGCACTTCTAGTATTAGAGTGCACCCGGGTAGGGAATCTGAACGTACCCCTGAGTGGTGTTTGGATTCAGTTTTCATGCTCCTGTTTATGTTAGCAGCGGGACGCCTTATCGCATTGAGCGATTACGGTTTCTCTTGTCTACAGTTGATCCATCGATTTTAAGACTCTCTAACGACACGCAGTGTTCAGCGTTATAATTTTAATTATAATATTTAACGTGCGCGAATATACATATGCGCACGTATTTATGTCTAGTAACATAGGTATAAAATATCTAGTGATGTCTGAAATCAGACAAGTCGGCCTCCGATCTATATTAATATATCATTAATGTTTCAAAATAAGTCCGGACGTTACAACACATGCATAGGGATTAATCGAATTTGGAGACATCGAACAAATAATCGATCTTTTAATAAAAAGTAATCGTATATCGATTATAAGTCGATTATCGCCCATCCCTATATGTCAAGCCTCCGTCGTGGCTTTCCTATCTGACAAACTGTTATCTAGGAATGATCCAATTGTTGTAACAATATTGGACGCTTTCATTTTATCAATTGTGCAGTAGAAATGCAATCTATGACGTGCAGGGAACAATATAAGTGCACTATGTGATACGTCGAGTCGCGATACAGTTTCGAATCCATGTTCTACAATTGTAAACATTAATCCACGCTTGTACTCTGATTTATCAGCGAGTCTTCCGTCATGAACGCTTAGTGAGTATTTCTTTTATTAAAATATTGTCTTAAAGCATTCGTTAAGCTTGGCTTACGCTTATCTCGCTAATAAGTATTGCGTGTAAAAGTGACAATACACTAGATCTCGTAAAATAAGTTTGTTGTTTCCGAAGTCATCTAGCTATATATATCAAACATACAAGTTAATATGATATTTTATGTATCTCTTCATATCACTAATAGACATTGTGTGAAATGAACTCTATCACTGTTACTGTCACTTGTTGAATATAATGTTTGTATAATGTATGTCTGTTGGTTAACACAAAATTTACAAAAAACTTTTACATCATGTGTAGTAACAGAAGTGCACCAGGTATATCAGGGAATGCTTTTGATTGTTGGGTTCAGAAGACTAATATGCATGATGATTCCACTATAACAAAAATGCAACATCAATTCTGGGTGACAAAGCAGGCTTTGTCCCGGAAATTGGGAAAAAAGGAGGATGAATGTATAGTTGCTTCGGATGCTGAGCTGGATGCGAAGCTGGAATTGTTTCGTAGTATCCAAGAATCTTGTTCTTACTTACAAAGAGTTATTGACAGATACCAAGAGAGATTATGTAGTGCGTTATAACACAATTTCTAATAACAAATAATATTTATTATCATATTATAAATATTATAACTTCTGTCTTTGATTTTTCATGTGTGTAATAATACATTAATTCAAATATTCCCTGTATAGATCTAGCTCAGGAAGAAAATGCTATGGGACGTTTTTTGAAAGATGCTGGCAAGCAAGACAAAACTCGTGCTGGCAAAATGATGTCAGCAGTTGGTAAATCTTTATCATATTCTGGTCAACAAAGACTTGCATTAAGAGCACCTTTAGGTCGATTGTATCAAGAAGTGGAAACATTTAGACAGAGAGCTATTGAAGACACTTTACAAAATGTGCAAGCAATGGAGAAATCTCGTACAGAATACCGAGCTGCTCTGTCATGGATGAAAAACATTTCTCAAGAATTAGATCCAGATACATCCAAACAATTAGAAAGATTTAGAAAAGTTCAAACACGTGTTAGACAGTAAGTTTTATTTCGTGTATTTATCTAATGTAGAACAAATCTAATTTAATTACATATTTATATAAGATATTGTAAAAAAAACATACATTTACTATAACCTAGGGGCAAAATAGCCTTTGACAACTTGGCTTTGGATTGTCTTCAGAAGGTTGACTTATTAGCGGCAGCAAGATGTAATATGTTCAGCCATGCTTTAGTTTTATATCAAACGACTCTCCTGAATTTTACTAAAAAATCTGCACAAGCTTACTCTACAATAGCAAGTAGCTTCAAAGGCTATCAGCACTATGACTTTACAGTCGTACGAGAACTGGCTGAAACTTCCAGTAAATTGGCGCAAGAAACTGGCGGTGATGACGATGCAGAGGACAAGGACAAGTGAGTTACAAAATCAAGATAAAACGAAATATCATTATTTGCCTCATAATATTCCTTATAGATTGCCGTTCTTCGATATGGACTATCATGACGACGTCGAGGAGGCTCAAGAGGCTACTGCAAATTCGGAAAATGCATCAGAGAAAAATAAGCATGACGAGAAACTCTTGGACATAGAGAGTGAACCGAAAGATATACTGATAGGTTTAGATACCATTACAGATTCGTCAAGGAATGGCATCGTACACGATACTAATGATACAGAGAATGACAAAAGTCTCGAAGAATTCTTTGGAAATTTAATTCTGGAGAAAAACGTTCGCGACAGCATCGGGCAATCGGTTAAGAAGGCCGAAGAGAACAGTCATTCTGAATTGAATAAAAACTCTGAAGAGCAGAAGCTAGCAATGGATATATTCGGAGATTGCAATACAAACTTCAGTCTGACTGATTTATCTTCCTTGTCGCCAGAGGCTCAGCAGCAGCAATCGTTAAATCTGATGGCCTCCGAAAGTGCAGCGCTTCTCGACGAAATCCTGAACGATAAGCAATGCGTCAATAGCAGTGATTGGGAAGGCATGTCAAGTGATACTTTTCTACCGCCAAATATTTTGAAGCAGAGTCTAGGGGATGCAGCACTAGGTATGGGACAGAAGGGTAATATGACAACCAGTAATATAGATGACAAAGTAAGTACGATTCGTAAAATCTGATAAAATAAATCTCGCAAAATTAATGTGACAATGATTTTTTTATAGAAAAAGAACAAGAAGCAGAAAGGTAATTCGTGGTTGGACTTATTCGCAGAATTGGATCCATTGGCTAATAATCCAATGGAAAATCTTTCTGGTGATAGTAATGCTTCTGCTTAATTCGTAACGTGTTTTAATGGTGTATTACGCTGATATGATCACTTGATACTTATATCAAGGGAAAATTAATTAAGCTATTATTTGTTGAGTATGATGATGATGCAGTGAGCGTTCAGTTCACAGTGTTTTCACTTCGTACATTTGTATCAGTATTTACCAGTAAGCTTTTAAATTTAACATTCCAGATTTATTTTTAGTGAAATCGTCATAAGAATCAAAAATATTCGAATTTACATAATTTTTCATATAAGCTAGATATACTTACCAAAGACATATAATGTTTATTGAACATTATGCTAGTCATGTTTTCTTTCAAATATATTGCAAAAGATCTTCATGATAAATAAATTTATTATGGAACTCTTCTGGTAGTTTTAACGGACATATTTAGGAAGATGTGGAAGTATTTCGCGTGAGTGTGTATTTGCTTTCTATTTATTTCAAGTTTTTTGTTTGCCCTTTAATTCTTTTTTATTGCATACGACAATTCGTGTCTGAAGCCTCTGCTTGTAAGCTAACGAGATTAATACATATCAAACATTTCTTTCAATATAAGCGAACGAGTTACACTGCGCGCATTGTGTCTCTCTCTTTCTTTTTCTATATATATTTATATATATATACTTAAATTATAAATAAATATACGTCGAACAGATTACAGGCATAGGCTCAGAATCGTCGGTTTGTTCGCTTTGCTTATAAGTTTCGAGCACTTATACATCAACCGAAAAGTGATCACAGTCTTAACACTAAACTCGTAATGTACTTCAAATATAAAAAAAGAGACGAAGTCAAGACCTAATCTTCATTACCGATACATTCGAAGTTCAAGGATCGTAAAATTGCGCCAAGGCAGTCTTGACTCTGAAATAAAAATAGTAATGATGAGATCCTCATGTAAAAAGTTTATGATACATGATAGACGGAGTATGACAATAATATGTTATAATGTTTGTCTCTCGTACTTATCAAACAACTGAGAGTCTTTCGTGTGACGCAGCTGCTGCAAAATACGATAAAGGCCTAATTCTCTCAGACGCGCTTGCCGTTGCGCAGCACCAGGTTCCTCTCTCCAGACTAGGTTGCACACACAGAAAATCGCTGCAACTTGCAGTTTCACATTGCTATGCATCTAAACAAAATATATATCGTAACACTGATGGTCGTGTAAACATTCATATGAGAAACAATTATTAAATTAACAGATAGAGCTCGTACGTGCAAACGTTCAAATCTATTTAGCGCACGCTCAGAGTTCGTATTGTGCAAAGCTATTTTTTATCGCTCTATTCTATCCGAGATAAAACTGCTCGTAAACGCAATACTACATATTTGTGGAGACCAAAGTTCTATCTATTAATAGAATTAGGAATGTGCAATCGACATAATATTTGTGATAACAGCGCACTGTACGAACCATATAATCCATAAGTTTTTTAAGCACGTCCTCGTTAGCCATGATATGATCTCTGGCTCGATCGCCATCTGCAACATTCGCTAAGATGCAGAGAGCCTGTTCCTTGACGTCTGCCGGATGTTCCGGGTCCTCCAATACCAATATAACCGCCTGCATAACATGAGCGGCATGCTCGCCCATAATGCGATCTATGTGAGCTTTAGTAGAGAGCAAATTTCTCAAAAGACCCAGCGTTTTCATGAGAACGGCTAATTCCGGATCAGCCAAAAGACGAAAGATCTGATCGGTGCCCAGGCATGAGAGTATTTGCGATTTTACCCGTTGCTCCGCTCGAAAAGCCACATTCATCAGAGCCCAAATGCCGTTTAGTCGGAGTGCCGGGTCGGGTCGTTTAGTGAGAGAACACAACAACTCGACTCCGCCGGACTCGAGAATCGGTTCTTTGCTCGGACTAAACTCCAACAGTAAGTTACATAAAGTGCTCGAGGCAACAGTTAACAAATCATCTTCACTTTCGCCTCTACCTATATTACAATGAATAACAATAGTGTTAATACATAAAAGTCGACAATTGAATACTAATAATAAAAATTAATTATAAGTATTAGTCCTTTTATTCTCTCTTTCTTCTTCTAAAATGATAATCTTACAATGCGACTATTAATATTGACGTATTAATCATATCCAGTTTTGCACGCATGAAAAAATCCACCTCTGCTCTGTATATTCAACTTCTTGAGTGAAAAAATGTAGCGATTATCTGTGCCTAAAGATACCCTTTAGATTTACTTCTTTATTAAATACAAATAAAGCCAATTTCAACTGGGTGACTGGAGAGTTTTTCTTTTTAATGCATTTACTTTCGTTCAACTACCTGCCTTATACAAAATAAAGAGTTTATATAAATAGTTGTCAAATATGGAGTTATATACATTTTCTTCTCCCTTCTTTTTGATCTAGATGTTAGTCCCAACAATTCAAACATACCTATGTTGTGCATACGTATATATTGCATTCTTATATGCAATATATATATGCAATATATATATGCACATGTTCTCAGTGTTTGTTACTGTACTCTGTATTGTTCATTGCAAATATACTATCATTTACCCTCCAACCCCTTGTCAGCTCCATGCAACAACTGCATAAGTGGTCTCCACACTGCGTGATCTTGAAACGTAGTGCGAAGCTGCTGCACGCTCCTCGATAGAGAATGCAAGCATCTAACCGCGGCTAAACGAACGCGTGGTCCGCCAGGATCTTGAAGACCAGATACCACTTGTTCCATAAGACTTTCTGTCTCAATAATACGTTTTCGTATATCCTCGTCATTAGCGCCGAGAGACGCGAATGCTCTAAATGCGGCTTGTCGCATATCTTGTGTTAGCGTTGCATCTTGTACCTAAACATAAAAAAAACCTTAAATATGTCTCTCTAAGAGACTCAGATTAACACTAAAGTAATTCAATAATTAGTACTTTACAGATCAAATACCGAAAACTCGAGAGAAGCGCAGATCACCGTTAAAGAAATTATATAACACAGATTAATAGTATATAATATATCCATTACAATTATTTGAATTTTAACAAAAATTGAATGAAATCGACGAGTTAAAACTAGAATGCCAGATGAAGTCATTTTGACGCTTTCAAGGTTTTCTTATTATCATTTTTGTTTCTCGTGATTTAGGACTCTCGTAACTCTTAATTATTTTTAAAACACGTTGAAAGAGTAATAGAAGAAATCATTGATGTTGTGATGAATTATTTTATGATTTACCTCGAATACTCAAGAAAGTCCACCTATATTGGCTTTTTATTTAATTATCGATGTTATGAGGATAATATACAAACTATTATTTAAATTCTAGTTTTCTAATTTTTATTTTTAAGTTTATATTTTATTTTGTGTGCATTTTTTCACTAGTCTTTTGATATACAGGGTGTCTGACTCGTTCTATAGTTAATATATAGCTAGAATAGGTTGGGGTAAATAATGGAATCGGTGTCTCTTTCTTTAAACAACCACGACGTCGCTTCCGAACAGTATCTCTGAATGTTATCTAGGAAGAGGAGAGGAGGTATCGTGAGCGTGAAGTGTCAGATAGCTCGGTGGTTTAGAGCAGTCGCTCGGCAAGCGCGAAAGATCCGGGTTCGGGTCCCGGTCTAGTAAACCGTACTTTCGATATTTTTCTCTCTGGAACGAAAAGATACGCAGGTCCCGAACGCACAGCGTCCCGCAGGCCACCTAATACACCCTCCTCCTATGGAGGAGGGAAAAACGCAATGCCTCGTTGCTAGGAGGCTGGCCCGGCTAATGCTCGTGTTACAACGTATAAAGCGTTTCGTCTCACCGCAACGCGCGTGCTGACTGGCCAGTGGGCTATCGCTCGGTAGAAATCTTTTATAGTTAATATCTCAAAATATTACGTGCTTGTTTAAAGAAAGATACCGATTAGCCCTTGTCCACAATCTTGTTTTAAGAAATTGACCAACCATGGTTGATTTTTAGAAGAATAATCGACCGTGGTCAATTTCTTACGGCTTACGTCTTAAAGCAAGATTGTGGACAAGGGCTTACTCATTTCGACCTATTCTAGCTATACATTAGCTCTGATACGATACGAATCAGACATCCTGTATAGAGAAAACATTGTAGTAAAAATTACAATCAAATTTTTGTTATGATTTCTTGAACCATACAGAATTATGATCCAAATTACTATTTGTTTCAAAATTTTTCATACACTTGATTTTTTACTATAAAATTAGTGTAATTATATGAAACTTTTTTATATTATATATTAGATGAGTCGTCAAGTTTATTATTTTTATAGTAATTTATGCTACAATTTCGACATAATCCAAGTAATGAAAAGAACCAAGAGACAGTTTAAAAGTATTATAATTAACAAGAAGTCAGAGATTCTTTCAGGCATTCAAAGAGAGTTGTCGTTTCATTCTAGTGTTAATGCACTTTCAATACTTTTTTTGCACGTAACATTTGCCACGTGCGTATTGTTATGCTTACTTGTGGATGCGGTCGCAGTAACTCAGCCAACGTCGGTATCAGGTGATTGCTGATCGAGGCTAAACGTTGCAGATCCGTATCAACCTCGGTAAGATATGCGAGCGTCTCCGCGGCAGCAACTCTCTCACGCGGTGGCCGATCTCGATGACATAATCTTACGAGACAAGGTAGAGCGCGGTACACAACTCGTGCATCCGTAGATGGCAATGCCCCAGCTCTGTGCATATACGCGACGCACCTAGCCGCCTCGAGCTGTATCAGTGAGTTCTTTTCGCGTCCCATCAACTGTCCTAACGCTGCGGGCACCACTTTAGGTGACAGAGCGTTGTTGTTAGTATTGGCGTTCGCCACCATTGCCGAGACTGTCTGGTTTTGGTAACACATATTCGCTAAACAAGCCAATGCCGGCAATTGAACGTCCGCTAGAGGAGAATCCAACTGCATTGCTAATGTTTCTACAGCTCCGCCTTTAGATAGGGCGTTTTGGTCCTCTGCTGTCTATATAAGCAAACATTGGCTAATTAGTTTTCTACCACTTCGCATTATTTTCTATGCTTTGTCAGCTCATACTGTCATACCTTACAAGCCGTCGTTAAAATCGTCGCCACGCATACTTGACACGTAACCGATCGACTGGCCAAAGACAACAGACGTGGTATTATTGCAGGATCGCGATATATTGCATGTACTGGCGCTGCTGTATGCTGAAATATCGTACGCAGGCATCGCAAGCAGGCCTCGTGCAAGAGATCAGCTATACTGGCTCTTCCTTCTGTAGATGCTCCAGAAATTGGCACAGTAAGCATAACTCCGAGGAGAAATGGAATTACGCCTAGATCTATCAGCGCTAGTACATGCTGATCTGTTCCCTTGGCTAAAGACCCCAATGTTACCGCAGACTCCAATCTTATGCGATCACTGATTATACCGCTGGGATCGCCAAGCAATTGCAACAGCCGGGGCACAACACCTTGAGCTATCACTGAACCTTTTTGTCGATTGCTGCCGATCACGGAATTTTTCAGACATCTGAGAAAGATCAGCCATATCCAAAATGTTACAATTCTCAACAGTTAACAGCAAGATTTAGGTCTATATTAATAGTTGTCACCTGAAACTTGTCTCAAATTTCTACTTTAAGTTAGATCCATGTTCTTTAGTTGAATTATAACATACACGATACATTTCTATCTATAATCACACATACATGATTTAGTTGAAAAACTCTCTCTAATTTTGGATCCATATTAATAATCATTACTTGAAACTTGTTTCAGATAAGATATATAGATTTGAGTTTAGAGTTAACTGATTTTCCAACTGAATTATGATTATAAATGTGATATCACAATTCAAGTAAATTTTCAAATCTAATTCTAAATTCAGATTTCTGTACCTCACATGAGACAAGTTTCAAGTAAGAGTAACTATTTAAGTTTTAACTATTAAAATGCCCCTGAATTCAAATTTGATTATTTCACTTGAGATGAGCTTCAAACGATAACTATTAATATAGGTCTTAATTTTATTATGATATATATATATATACATATGTGTGTGTGTGTGTGTGTGTGTGTGTGTGTGTGTGTGTGCACGTGTGTGTATATATATATATATATATAAAGTGAAACATGGGAGGGGCAAGAGGAATTGGGACAAAAGGGATTAAATATGTGTGTGCGTGTGTGTGTGAGAGAGAGGAGAGAGAGAGAGAGAGAATATAAAAGAAAATATAGTAAATATAGAAATAGTAAATAATATCGTATATATGTAATAAAATATAATATGAAGGACACATTAGAAGTTTCTTTTTTTTAAATCGAAGAAGATGAAAGAAAAATTCGCTGCAATGTTATATCGCTCCTGAATTTATTCCATGGAACGTTGTTCCCACTAATTGATGATGACAGATCGATGCTTCCGATCGAGTTAAGGTTAAGCACAATCTTCACTCACATAATCGCTTCCAGACATTTCTGCTGATCCGGCGAGTAGAGCTCGTCGATATAACTCCTCGAGCTCTCGATGTCCTGCAAAGATTGTGAGAAGCTCATGAGATAATTTCGCCTTACGAACGGAGCAGGGCGAATTGGAGTAGACTTGACGAACTACGTCCGTTGGAACGTCAAACAGCAATGATGTATATGTGTTATCGGGCCGGTATCCTCCGATCCCGACATCGAACTCACCATGAACGGCTGCATAATCGACACCATGAGTGCTTTGATCGGCGTTATCACATAAATATTACGATAACCAAGCACTCGATTTTATTAGCCTGTTCACGGAAGAACCGCCACGAGGAGGAACCGTCAAATCCAGCTTGCGTACTGCGTGTGAATGTTCACGACTGGATTCACTGCGTTCTCGTGTTCTAAAATAAGCTCGCTATTTGTTATCAGTAGTACCAACGTTATCCCGACGAGATATCCAAGGTTTGTTCTCTCTATTTGCAGTTTTTACATCAGCTTTGGTTAAGTTCGTTTTGCACGCTTTCGTGCTGAATGCATCAATTCTATCTTTGGCTGCGTTCCGAAATTCACTGCCAGTGCTGAAATTCTATAGTATACGTGACATAAATTATAGATTTTCAGTACTGAAAGTGAATTTCGGAACGCAGCCTTTATCGCTTATTAGGCTGAGTCCCCACTTAGCGCGTCACGCGTCGCATCGTCCCGAAAAGAGAAAAACATCAAGCGCGGTTTGCTAAGGCCGGGGACTCGAACTCGCGTTTTCCGCTTGCCGGGCGACTCTAAACTGAGCTACTTGACGCTCCACGCTCACGATACTCTCCTCTTCCTAATACAAAGATAACTTTACCTTTATCTTCCTACAGATAACACTTAGGGTGCGATTAGATGTAGCGCGGTATGCGGTATGCGGTACGCGGAACGCGGTAAAGTAACTAGAAACCGCGCGCGATGGCCGCGCCTGTTTTCTTCCTCCTATTAGGGTACGTTCAGATTCCCTACCCGGGTGCACTCTAATACTAGAAGTGCTATAGTATATGTAACATATACTATAGTGTTTCTAGTAATAGAGTGCACCCGGATAGGGAATCTGAACACACCCACATGGAGCAGAAACTGCGCGAAAAGCGCAAAATGAGAATTTATCACGGGCTAGTGATAAATTCTCATTTCTATGCACTTTTAAATGGAATTAATTGATTTAAATGCAATTAATAAGTAAATTTGTTGAAAAAATAAGAATATTAGTAAAATATGCATAGAAATAAGTTAATACATTTAAAAAAATGAAAACAAATGAGAATTTGTCACTAGCCCGTGCCGCTTTTCCACGCAAGTTTCTACTCCATAACGCATACCGCATACCGCGCTACATCTAATCGCACTTTTAGGGCTATCGCACACAAATTGACATAACTGCATATGCATAGCATAAGACCGTATGTACCAATGAGCATCGAGTATTAAGTCGCCATATTGGTATTCGATGCTTAATATTCGATGCTCATTGGTCCATACGATCTTATGCTATGCATATGCAGTTATGTCAATTTGTGTGCGATAGTCCTTAGAGATGCTGTTCGGAAACGACATCTCTGGCGCGATCTCGAGCGCACGGCGACTATAGAGAGAAACAATGGACGCGTTCAGCGAAAAAAGCGCTCAGTGAGCAATCAGCAATTATTACTGTTAGATCAATTTTTTGGCAGCCCCCAGGGCTGCGTTCGGAAACGTCACTCAAGTGTACCCGTTGCATTGGAGTGAGCGAGATACAAGAGTGAGATAAAAAGAGAGAGAGAATATTCGAGTGACGTTTCCGAACGCAGCCCTGGGTCTCTATTCTTGAAATAGTTGCGTATATATAAGTTTTACTGCGCAGGTTTAATTATATTATAAAATCATACTATAAAATAGCTGCGCAATGAAAATTACGTATATGCAAAAATTTCTAGAATAGAGGCCCAGGTGTTTGAACGCAATGCGCCTTGGGGGATTCCACCATAAAAAAAGGAGGGCGTACTAGGTGGCGGCGGGACGCCATGCGTTCAGGACTTGCGTTTTTTTTCGTTCCGGAGATAGAAAAACATCGAGAGCGCGGTTTGCTAGGTCGGGACTCGAACTCGTGACGCGACGGAAGCTCAAGAATAGCGTCATTCTTATTTACACTGAACGCGTCGCGACGCGTCAATGCAATGCATGAGCAGGCACAACATAATCTAATACCAACGATTTGTATGTGAGTCAGGATAAGAATATATATGAATCAAATAAATTGAATTGAGTTTGAGGACCAATTCAAACTTAAATAGCAGTCTGTCTTTCCCTCGTATCCTGCTTATGGCGCACCATAGACAGTACTGCTTCGAGTATGTACTATATATTTCAATGTACAAGATACATTGGTCCATATTCTGGTTATACTCTAAACTCAATTTTATCGATAAAAGTAGCTTAGAAGTCACCTAATTTGCTCAGAAGGTTTAAGGTACCTTTATTGATAAAAGTGAGTTGAGAGTATGAACCATACATTTTTTGTTTAAAATGTCGAGCAATAAGCGATGCGTTGCCTCAGGGGCTCGATTCTTGACGGTATGCGAATGAGATACGTATGCGAAAATTTATAGTTCACGTTACGTATACTATAGATTTTCGCATGCATATCTCATTCACACACCGTCAAGAATCAGACCCCTGTGCTGGGATTCTGTAACTCGTTATTGGAGTTAACGGTAGTTTCGTTATCATTGCGCAGCTTTTCTATGGTATACAAAAGTTGCACAACGATAACGAAACTGTCGTTAACTCCAATAACGAGTTACAGAATAGGGCTACAGAAGTCACATCGTTACGTATAAAATGGGACGATTTGATTGGTTTAACTCATAACGCGACGGACGACATGACGCGTGACGCGCTAAGTGGAAACTCAGCCTAAAGAACGAACAAAGGGTCAATCTTCTCCTTTAGTGTAAACCCGTAAAAAGTGAAAATCTCTTGAAAATATATGAAAATGTTCACTTTTCACAAATTACATTGAAGGAAAAGATTTATTATATATATAATCACTTCCAAATATATATATATATATTTACTGCAAAATTACTCATTTTTCATTTTATACTAGGGGAAAAGATTACTTGATCAATAAAATCAAATACACGTGAAAAATTCATGATTGATGAATTTATGAAACAGTTTTTTTTAACAACAATTATTTTTAAACCTAACATACTAGAGGTTGAAAATCTGTAGTTATATGAGATCGCAGCATATATGTACATGTGTGTGTGTACATGATAACGATTAAGAGGTCGGGACTAATCGGGATAAATCGTGTCAATCAAGATTCTGGTTGATATTTAAATTGAAGTTATAGAGGTTATAGATTCCAATTGTGTGTGGATCCACAGTTATTCAGTTGGTTTATTTTCTAAGCAGTAGTTTCTCGCGAAAATGATAGATAATAGAATATAACAAAACTAAAGTGATAGTCGAGTGAATTTACTGCAGTACAAACGGCGCTCATACAGAAAACTTGACAAAGCTTTATATGATGTTGCACAGTGAAATCGTGCCGCATCATAACCAATGACGTGGATATAGGTTAGCTTTTTCTATAATCGTCACGGTATCGTGCAAACAAATAAAATCGTCGAGTATATTGTGCGTGCTTCTTACAAAAGCCATTTGTAAATAATGTTCGAAATTACGGATACACAAAGTAAGTAAAAAAATCGAACCAATATTTACCGACTTTGTATGAAAAAGCTGGCGAATATACGAGATGACTATTAAATATTGTTGATTTTACTATAATACTTTCATTTTATAATTTCATTGAATTTTAGAGATTGGAGTAGGTTTGGCAGGATTTGGAATTTCCTTCTTGTTTCTCGGTGTATTACTGCTGTTTGATAAAGGCTTACTCGCCATTGGAAATGTAAGATTGTCACATTCGTCATTCATTCATTTGTTTGCAAAAATATGTTTCTGAGCGATTATTTGGGTCAATTTACAGCTTCTATTTATTTCGGGTTTGGCATGTGTAATTGGACCATGGAGGACTTTAAATTTCTTTTTTCAAAGACATAAAATGAAAGCTAGTGTCTCGTTCTTAGGAGGTGTTTTTGTGGTACTTATGGGTTGGCCCATTATAGGCATGATTTTAGAGACCTATGGTTTTATACTGCTCTTCAGGTGAGTGTATTAAACTTAATAATTGATGAATATTGTATAAAAGTTATTTCTACACCATTAGTTTATTATCTACGTTTCTTTGTATTTTAGTGGTTTTCTACCAGTAGCAATAAATTTCTTACGAAGAGTACCTATATTGGGAACTATACTAAACATGCCTGGTCTCAGTCGGATTCTGGATATGATAGCAGGTGACTCTAATAGAACAACTGTATGATAAGACCATTCATATCTTTTTGCTTATATGTATATAAAATGTTCTCATGGTGTTCCATCTTTTTTTTGTCATTCCCATTTTAGGATGTCAGTTGTCAAATTCAGATCTTTGTACAAAAACGTAAAATTAATTTACCTCTTACAATGCCAATGTGTAAGAAAATATCAATAAGTCTAGTACAATTAATTTATGTTTGCAATTAATGTGATTTGTGTGCTACCTGATTACGTCAAGGATGCGATTGGTTATGTAAAGCATTCCATAACTTTATATATATGAACTTTTTGTATAAATGACAATTTGAATTTTGTTAACTTGGCGATATTCGCATCTATATATTGGTTGAAGTTGATAGTGGCCAAAAGCATATCCTTTTCTTGACCAGGTATTTAATAAATGTTTACAGTGAGATAATAAATGAATGTGTATGTGTTATATATTAATAAGAAGTTTTACATATTGAGACAGATGTATTACCTTATACAAAATCCTCTTATAAGTTTCCAAGGAAATCAGAATTTTCACACATATTCAGAAGCACATGTCAAATCAATACTAGTCTTGAATTGAAAATTGAAATACACATGTATCTATCATCTACAAGCCTAATCTAAAACTTTACACTTTAATTAAATCTATAATTCAATGAGAATTTGATTCAAACATACTATGAAGAAGCCAACTCAAAATTTTTTTCTTTAATCAAATTCTCATTAATTTCTAGGAAGGAACAAGATTCCGAATGTATGAAATTTTATATCATTTTTATTGATCTGCTGCTTCCCCTGCATCTGCATGCATCCTAACATGAACAGATTAGATGCATACATTCTGAGTAACGTTTTTCTTCTTACACATAGTCGTCTGAAGTGCGAAATTAAATTATCGTCTATCGAAGTTCGACAGACTGGTTGATATTATCAGAAAATGAGAAGTTTATTACTTATGAATTATCTACAACGGGCCGAGAGTAAGGCGGGGGGCGGCCCAAGCTACGCGCCCCGCCATCGCCGTAATGACGTCGTCGTCGCGCGTCCGCCTCTCTCACTGACTTCACGTGCGCTGACTCAGATTTCTCTAGGCAATGATACTTTCGATACTTAGGCTATGTTTCAAAATCACTGACAGCGCTCAAAATCTATAGTATATTTAACTACATAAATTATAGTTTTTCAGCGCTGGCAGTGAATGTTGGAACGCAGCCTTAATATTGCAATTGGCCTATTTATGGAACGTTTTCAGGTAATCGTGATCACGATTTTTGGTTGTCGTGACTTGCTCGAACTTGACAATTCTACTTGTCTTTTTAATTCGTTCTCAACTGTAGTGTAATATGAAAATACAGCACGTAATGCCTGTCAGCCGCTGCGGGAAAATACTGAATCCGGCAATAAATTAAGCAGATTCTCTTCTATGTTTTTTCTTTTTTTTACCTTTTTACGTTTACAATTTCTGCCGAGTTTCATGCATTTTACGAGCTGCTACCGAACGTCCTCAGCCTGAATTACTTGTTCGTTAGAACTGACAGCGAGTCTCATTGTCCGTCAGTTCGGAATTTGCTATCAAATCAGATGGTGTAGGTAATAATGACGATGTTTATGTTCGATGAAAGTAACGAGACGAGGATCCCATTTAGCATTTTAAAGGAGGTTCTTGATCTCGTCGTACAGTACGAGCACGAGCGCACCACCGGTACCACGAAGGACATTGGAGAACGCGCCCTTGAAGAAGGCACTACCACCTTCCGTCTTATAAATAGTGGACCAGCAGTGAAGAGTGCTTTTGTACAGAATTTCAGTCTTGGCACGACCAGACTGCATCATCATACGCCTACGTACCGTATCAAATGGATAAGACACAATGCCCGCGACAGTGGTCACAGCCTAAAAAGAATTTCAAGAAAACAGATAAAAACATTTACAACATCGACATTTACAAATCCATAGAAGTGATAGAATTTTCTAGTATCGACTGCTCACCTGGGCGATACCCCATGAAACAAGGAATGGAGTCTTTTTGGGGTCTGGCAGCATACCACGGGCAGTGTCATAGAAACCAAAGTAAGCAGCACGGTAAATGATGATACCCTGGACAGATACGCCGAAACCACGGTATAAACCACCGATACCGTCAGCTTTGAAGATCTTCGTCAAACAGTTACCCAATCCAGTGAACTCGCGTTGACCAGCACCTTTACCTACGTCAGCAGCCAATCTAGCAATAAACAAAAGAACGAGATCAATAAATAACTACAAATATTAAGAATTCTAGGTTTTTAAAAATCCATCATTCCATATAAAAATGCAAATATGTTAGTTAAAAATTAGATATAATGATGTTAATATAATAGCGTGATTGATCGTGTGATCAATTGTCTATAAAAATGTGATTTATAATTCAAAATAACAATTTTAAAATAGCAGCTACAAGGATTTATAAAAAAATTTAACTGTACCACTTATTGCATATTATTTAATTGATATAATATACCTAAAAACTATTATTTAATTGATAACCATTCCCATAGTATTAACTCAACGGAAGATCTCATACAACTTACCTAGTTCTGGCAAAGTCAAGTGGATAGACAAAGCACAGAGATGTAGCACCAGCGGCACCACCAGATGCGAGATTTCCCGCAAAGTAACGCCAAAATTGAGTGTTCTTGTCAACACCACCAAGGAAAATCTGCTTATACTTGTCCTTGAAGGCAAAGTTCAAAGCCTGCGTTGGGAAGTATCTGATAACGTTGGCAAGATTACCACGCCAGTAACTTAAGAATCCTTGTTCACGTGGGATACGAACGAAACAATCGATCATACCTGAAAGATAATATATAATATCAAGAGATGAACAAAGATTAATTCATTCTTATTTTTGCATTTAATTTTATTGATTTTAAATGATAATTAAAAATATATATAGATAGAGACATTTGCAGATTGTCAAAATTTAATCGTAAGGGTGATTAAATGTTAAAAATCAAAAGAATTATGAAAGAAGATATTCACAAATACTTATTAAAGAGCTTTAGTAAGAATTTGAATGACAAAAACTTAAAAGATTCATGAACAATATGAATTACTATAGTTTTGACACTTCATATACAAAATCAAAGTGGAATTTCAATAACTACATACGAATTGCTTTACATCAAATAAAAATTTGAGTTGTTGACTGCAGCGTATTTGCCAATCTTTAGTTTCATCAATTCTAAAAGCAACTGTTACGTACATAAATTTAAAATTGCTTGCTGTACACTGACAGATTACAAAATCTTCCCAGTTATCTCAATCTCCTCATCGCAATCAATTTAACTCGGCGATTTTATTCTAAATCTATACTGTACCAATTAATTTAGGCTGCGTTCCGAAATTCACTGCCAGTGCTGAAATTCTATAATATACGTCATATGAACTAAATTTTATATAAAGTCATATGAAGTGAGTTTCGGAACGCAGCTTTATTAAGGTTTCAGAACTTTCTATGAAGGTTACTTTACGAATTATACTCGAGGTATTAGAGTTCAAAGTTCAAGCAACATAAAAGTTACGTAAAAACAAAAACTATCACATTGAAGAAAAGTGACATTCTAGGAGACTCCGTGTACGATAATCTTGAAGACAAAGGGTGCGTTCGGAGAGCTTGCTATTAGCGCTATTGTGTCATTCTATCTTTGTTTACCTAAGAAGCGATAAAGATAAAAGAACTCAGTAGCGTTGGTAGCGTGTTCTCCGAACGCATCCAAAATGCAAAGCATGCGGAATGCAGCAGCATATAGTATATCTAACAGTAGCTCAAAAGCAAATGATCTCTAGCGAAATTACCAGAACCTAATGAGTTGAAACTGCAAGTTATCGCGACAATGACATGTTTCTCGCGCTGCGCATCGAAAAGAGATCGTGCCAAAGACGCTAGTCTTGATCGCACGACAGGAATGAATCAGCAGGGTGACTCTATGGACGGTGTGAATGAATACGTTCAGCGGACACAACGGTTAAGCAATTCATCAGCAGTAATTGGTCTAGATTTAGGGATCTGACGGTAAAGACCAGTAAATCACTGACTGATCGCTTCGTTCCGCTGAACGCAGTCGATTTGTGACGCGCGGAAGTAGGCAAGCGGGAAGAAATTCGGTCTCGTGGCCGACCGAAAGACCGTGGCGGCCATATTGGACCGCACCGTCATCGATCGGAGGCACGTCTTCGTTGCACGGTCGTTAGCGAGAAGCCGCTATGCGCCGCCTGCCATCTGGCCGAACGGTACGTTCCATTGGGATATCGATCCATCCCCGAGCGATTGCCGATATAGGCTTTTTCGTGGCTATATGCGATCGGTCGGTGACGGTTGCGAGAAAGTTATGTAAGCTGCCGAAAAGGCCGTATGCACGACCTTCGTTACATAAATGCACAAAATATCGATACTCGCGTCGTCGCCGCCGCGTGGCGCGCTCGCGGCACGCGAAGCGCCCTAGACGTTAATGCGCTAACGGCATTACATAACGGTCACCACCGTCTTCTCCTCGGCCGCGGTGAACGCGAGATGCCGTAGGGAACCACCCTAGGAGCGCTGACACACGCACGAGATCACTCTCTGGCTACTGTCACATGTCCGGCGGGGCTGTGCCGTCGGCTGAATCCGCCGCGTCTCGCTCAGCGTGTCTTTTTCGCAGCGAATTCGCACTTGATCGTGTCTCAATTGCCATGATACCACGCGCGTGACACGGCCGGTGCTTCCCTCGTGACCCTAGGACTTGAGGAAAAAAAAGAGGAGAGAGACAGAGGGAGGACAGAGGACAATGAAAGAAAGAGACAGAGATAGAGGAAATTTCACTCACCCTTGTAACGCTGGTCCTCTGCGATCTGCTTGGAGATGTGCTGTACTTGCAGCAGCAACTTGACGCGCTCGATGGGCGCCACGGTGGTCTTGGAGATCGCCGCGGCCACACCGCCGGCCACGAAATCCTTAGCGAACGCCACGGGGTCCGTTAATCCAGACATTGTGCCGTAGGGTGGTGTGCGAGAGATACAGGTGATGTAAAGGAGAGCGAGAGAGAAAGGAAAGATCGAATCCTCCCTACGGTGTATACGTCGGACGCGCGCCGGACGACGAGTGATCGAGGCACAGTGTTCCGTTCGTCTCGTCAGAACGGACCTGCGCTAAGAATAGACAGGCGTGCGCAGGGTCACGTGTGTCATCTGCGCAGCACCCGAGCGCCGTCAACGTTCGTAGCACGGTATGCACCAGTAACCTCGGGACCGTGACACTCGCGGTCGCCGTGACACTCTTCAATCGTCGAACGCTTCCGTCCGATTCACGACCTTTTGTCCTCGTGCGCGTCGTCGACCGACATGCCGCGTTGCTTTTCGCGCGACCGCCGCCGCACGCGTATTCCTTGTTCGAAAGGAACCGCCACCCACTACGCCACGATGACGTATCCGGTCCTTATCCGTGGACCGCCGCGATCGTTGTCGCTGACAATTGTATGAAATTACAAACACAATGGCGGGAAAGCCGCGCGAAATCTGATAGTTTTCTTTAATTCTCATTCGTTTCATATTGCAAAGAGACGCGCATCTGTATTAGATATACGTGTATACATGTTTATTTAGGTCGAGAAAATCACTGAGAAGAGAGAACATTTTATCGAATAACCTCCAAATAGAATAGAATTATCTGTTGGAGAAATTGATTCTTTCTAGTGCCAGTGTACAAAACGTATATCTAGTGCGTATTGTATTAGCGTTAAGACTCTTATTTTCTTACCGTGGAAGTCTTGATTGTGAAGTCAAAAGTAAAAAAATACACTCAAAAAATTCTTAAAAAATACATTAAGATAAAAAGATATATTCATATTGCAACTTGCAATCGATTGAGTGGATTTGTAAAATACTCTGAACATTTTGTTCAATGTTCGAATAATTAATAAATAACCATAAAATTAATGTGACATATAATCTTTCTCTCTAATCTATCTTCTCTCATAATTTTGTCACGTTGATTTTATGGTTATTTATTAGAACAAAGGGAAAAAGTATTCGGAAATTTTGTAAACATATTATTTTATTTTAACATATTTTGCAAGAATACTTAATATGTATTTTCTCGTATCCGAAGTCATAAATCAAGATAATCCCGAGACTCCAAAAGTCTTAATGTCACAGATGATATTAATAATTGCAAAAGTCTAATACTTAAATTTGTAGTAACTCAGTTATCATCTAATTTTCTCTCTCTTTCTTTTTGCTATCTTATCTTAACTTTTTTCAGAAAAATATCAACCAACTGCAAGTCAACCACGTGACTGTATGAATATCCCTTTGCTATTTGAATCCTCGGTTGTGTTCAAGGCGGACAGTTCAGACATTTTGGCTCGCTCGCGCGGGTTTGTCAAGAACGAGACGCAAGGTCAATTCTCTGTTGAAGAAAGAGGTCAACGGGACGCTTGCGTAAGCCTGGCTTAGGGCCATCGAGTTGCGGAGGGACCGCGAGCCACAGTTCAATGAAGTAACGTCAAGGTACAGAGTGTATTTATACACGCGTTCGAAGAGAGGAATACGCGCGCGCGCGCGTGTAAACCTTCCGTTCGCGAAATTGGACGTTGCTAAAAGTAACCATCCAATTTTGCCTACGCATGCGGTACTACATCGATATCGAGATTACGAGACACTTGTCAACGTCCGTGTGTCTATCAGCGATCTCTCCGTGTGTGCGGGAAATGACTGTGATAGCTCGATAACATTCGAATTATACTTGGCATTGTCCTTGCGCTCGATAAATCTTGAGATAATGAGATAAGACTTGCAGGCTAATGCAAGTCGAGGAATCTTTCAAGTAGATTTGCTGAGGAATTTGGTTTCGTGTGGGAAAGATCAACGGTCAATGTATGACGCTAATTCTCAATACTGGATTTCGTGACAAGCAAAAAACGGCTGACAAATAAAAGCTGTAGGACAAAGCTTGAATAAAGTTAACTAAAAATAATGACTTTCCAGATAGTATCAGCTTCTAAAAAATGTGTTAGAAACATTCGTGTAAATATTCATACGCATATCTGTTAAAGTTATGTCATTTCTTTCTTTTAGACATCTCGTACAAGACGTTTGTGTTGTTTGGTTTATTATTCGTTTACGTTTCGCAAAGTTGATTTAAAGATAATGCTTATTATTTCATAAGTTCTTCGTAGCTCATTATCTGACCAAAGCGGTGTCTAACGCATATCAACATTTCCGGTTCATCATCGGACGGCATCGCATAAGAGGATGAACGTCACGCTCTGAATGACGAAATAGGAGTGCGGAAAAACGCAGAATGAGAAAGCGTATGCATAATTAATAGTAACTAAGAAATCAACTGTATTTTTTCTAGTGTGAACCATATTTTTTATATCAAAGTATAGTTTATGTGTTAAAAAATAACACAATAGCAAATTTTAGTTGTTCAGGTCGCGAGAGCCACACTATGAAAGTGCAAAATGTTCATGATAGTTTGTATGAAGATGTGAAATAAAATTAAAAAAACAAGGTTAAATATAATAAAAAGACATAATAAAAATAAAAGTCGCAAATAGAAATCTATAAAAAAAAATGAAACATTTGTCCATAACATATACTGACACTATTACTACACTATAACATTAATACTAACGTCATCACGAGTTATTTAACTGCTATAAAAGTTGGCAACCGCGATGTGTGTTTATTTTGTCTGATTTTAACGTAGAGTCAATAGCCAGACTAACAAAAATTCATAAGAGTATCGCAAGTTATTCCAGCTGTTCTAGAATTATCATTAATAAAAGTTTGGTGGACAAGATAAGAAGAGAAAACTCTTCGATGTTCAAGAATTACAAGAATGAGAATTAGAAGATCATTTTCTGTTATCACGATATGATCTTTCCTGATCTGATAAGGTAAAAGTTTCGTAATAAGTTTCAGTGACAAAGATTCGAGAGATGTACACGTTGATGTACATAGTTCGTAAGAATGCAATCGAACACGTGACAACGTGTTAGCAACAGTGGTTCATTAGATATCGGACCTGAACTCGGAGTCTTGAATGTCGCGTATTGGATTAAGTAGCGACCTTGATGATACGAACTGCCGCATGGCTGCGTAACCGCGGGTTCTGATGGTCAATGCACCTGAGAGGTATTCGCAGTCAATTTTATTATCATTAGGAACTCGAGGACGCGAACACTACGTGATTGCAAAACGCATCGTCGTTTAGACATATAATCTACAGAAGGAAAGACAAAAAAGTCCTCATTGTCGTCGTCGTCGTTGATATTGTCGTTGTGAATATCGATTCAAGCGCAATATGTTTTAGAGTGATCATACTTCTCTGCAACGACGTGCAGACGTATGATAATTTTTGTTTTATCGACGTCACACGACTCGTATTTTCATTACGTAAGCGACGGTTGAGAAATCTTTGTCAGATTGAAACTGTTTTCTTCGCGATTTCACAAATTGTTATTTCCATCAAATTGCTTCGAAAATGTGTTAATTTTTTAAATAAAATTGAAAAGCAAATTTTTACACACACTTCGATGTAACTCTTATTAATCAACATATAGTTACCATTAATTTCAATACGTGTTTTTCATTTAAAGAAAAAAATTTCTCGATCGGGCTAAGAAACTATTGTGAACTCCTCCAGCTACATTTAAAACAGTATTTAGTAAGAACACAATAAATATTTTTTGCATTAATCTAATATAAAATAATTATATGTATATATTTATCTCTATGATTAGTATAAATTTAAGAATTTGGAAATATATAGATTGATTGACGATTGCTTTAAAATGGACTAGTTGTAATCGACTAGTTGGCTGTCCCTGATAAGCTAGATATATATGTGGTAAACTTCTAAATAGAAATATACAAATGTAATAGTATTTTATATAATATTTATAGTCTTTTATATAACATGTTGGATGTTTTGTATATTTGTACGGCTAGAAGTCATTTTGTTAGATAAATTTTGTCTTTTTGCACGGTGTGAGTTCGTTTCGTACAATATATGATAAAAATATTTACCCAGATAGCACATAGAATTCAAAAAGAATCCAGTCGTATGTCACCAATTCTGAGTTCATTTTTAGATTCAAAAAGAATTCTTCTCACTGAACTGAACTCTGAAGAATTCTTTTTGCATTTGCATTTGCTGAAAATAAACTCAGAATTAGTGACATACGACTGAATTCTTCTTGAATTTTCTGTGCTATCTGGGAATTCATACTTCTGTTTATTATACTGAGTCTGTTGGAAAGCGCGTCATAGTTAGATTTGTGTTGTGTTCGCGCATAACTACATAAAAATAAATTCTCGTAAAAATAAATGTAGCTCGCCAATGTTTTCTGTCGCTTAGTCGCATATCTTTTCTTTGATACATCTGATATAGTACATTTTAACAAAGTAATTTTTACAATTTTACAATTACAACCGTGAACAAACGATCCTTTCAAGTAAGGTACTGTTTTATTTTATACAAGCTAAAAATAATGTTTTCTTTTATATTGGTTTTTTTATAATACCAAATGTATACTATATTATTATATTATATTATAATATCAATAGAAATATTTAGGCATATTTACGATAATATAAATGTGTATATGTTATACTCTCTCTTGAAACATTTGATTATTCAAATTGTCTTGGCGCGAGAGACTCTGTTGGTATAACATTCGATAAGTTCAATTGTAAAACAATGCTATCTAGTGGTACTACTTTGATAGATGATAAACAGTGAAGAAAATATTAAAATTATACTTAAAATTCAAAGAAATATATATATATATATATATATATATATATATATATATATATATATATACTCTAGGCAAGAGGAAACAAACGTTTTCCCTCCTCTCCGAGCAGAGAAAGAAAGAGAGAAAGAGAATGAGAAAGCAAGATAGAGAGCTTCTCATAATAGTTCCTTCTATTTTGCTAGATGGTGCGCAGTGCTTCATTTCTAAGTTCTTGAGAGTGTACCATCTGACCGGAACCTGTCGACGTTCCATCAAGAATGCGTTAAAGTTTTTTACGACGAAATATTACATTTCGTCGTGTACGTGAATAGAGGTGAGATCGATGAAACGTCAGTGACATCGGCACGGATTTACAGTGAGCATCTTTGTGATTTTGTTGCTTTATATGACGATGTGTGTGACATGTACTCCCTTACTCCCCCTTCCGCTGATTATGACTCCGTGCAATGTGTATTTTCATAGCTGCGCATTAATTAAATAATTAACTTGTGTAATTATCCCGGATATGAGTTGCGTCGTAAGATACCTTTTCAATTTGATGTTTACATTTAAACATCACGTTACACAATCTTTATAAGTTACCACTATTGCTCCAGTTAGTAATTGTCATTTTTAATGTGTTTAATTAGTTATACACAAGAAATTATTTACTACACTAGTAACATTTCATTCACTCATGTAAAAAAGATCAGTACTGCAATGACAAGTAATCATATAAAAGATATCTATTTTTTCTTCCTTTTATGAGGGATAGATGTTGATTTCTATTATGTATTTCTTTTATCCATCAATATTATCTAAAGTTTGTGATAACAGAGTTGAATTAAATATTACTACTGTTTTAGATGTAATCATACTACAGTTAAACCATTATGTCGTCCATTATAAATGTTGCCTGAAGAGAAGGCAAAAATCAGCAACATGACGGAAGGTTGGTTAATTACTATATTTTACATAACAATAAATTTATAAATTAATAATTTTGTGCATATATCTAACCAGGCACAGAAATCCAACCAAATGCGAGCAATGAAGCTCAAGCTGGTAAGTTATTGCTTTATTAATAATTTATACATATATGTTTCATTCCTAATACATACAACTATATAAAGTTGACCATCAAGCCTGATATATAATTGAATTAGTGTTCATTGTAGGTATCTGTTATATTACAGAATAGGGCTTCATTTTTTTTTTTTTGTTTCCTCACTCAGTATTATTATTTTGTTAAACTTGAAATATACCTTTTATATTATAGTTTAATAAATGATAATGAAAATAATATAATAATATAAGCATGTTTAAATTATCAATTTAAGAAATAAATCTAAAGTATGTTGAGAAAATGAATTAAAGTATTTTGTATTTTATTCCTTTTATGTATTATATAGTCTCAAATCTGTTTAGAATATAATGAAAATAGGTTTAAAACAGATATAAATCCCAACCTTATATTGTGCTTTTGTAGAAGCCTTGGAATCAAGAACAACACACAATGAAGGACTACATGAAGGAACGGCTGAATCAGCATCACAAGCTATCCTTGAACCAGTACAAGAGCTGCTCACAGTTCATGGAACTACACAGGGAGAAAGCAGCGATGCTGTTAGTATTTATACTGCCAGTACTTCAGTATCTGGCAATGGTAAGTTTATATTATTAACTTTACTCTAGTAATAATCACTAATATTCCAAATTATAAATAAAATTAATATACAATCATTGTTATATCTTAGAATCAAGTTCAAGTAGAGTCAGTGCGATAACTGTAGTACTGCCATGGGGTGCCCAAAAGGAGACAGTAAAACCACAACAAATAGGAGACATGGACTTGAGACCAGGAGAATATGTGATGCGCATTCTATTTGCAGAATTCACTTCACAGGCTGAAAAGAAAATGGAAGCTGTTATGACAGAGCATGTAAGTTGACTAACTACTATTTATAAGATTGTTTAGAATACTGCTAAAATATGTTATTTTTAGGAGAAACAACTGTCGAAAGTCTTGCAAAGAGGGGAAGATCCGCAATTTGATCAGCTTTTATCAGCTTTTGGTTCAGTTGCCGAGCACTGTCTGCCATCAATATTAAGAGCTCTGTTCAACTGGTACGAGCGTCAACTCGTAGATCAAGGCGGTGATCAAAAGAAACCTGGGAAGGAAGATCAAAAGGGGAAAAGGTAGGAAAATGCGTGAAAATCCGTATATTAATATATTTTATACAAGTATAAATAATAAATATATAATTTCAGCATTATGTATACAATTGTATCAGGAAGTGTAGAAACAGTGGAAAGGAGTGAAGCAGACTTATTGCAAGAACGCAGAGATCTTGCTGTCGAATTTATATTTTGTTTAATGCTGATCGAGGTTTTACGTCAATTACCGTTTCACCCCGGACATGAAGATTTAGTAACCTACATAGAAAATATTGCTTTTAAACATTTTAAATATAGAGAAGGGTAGATAAAATATTTTGTTATAATATAAATTAATGTAAAAAATATAACAAGTCTAATTAATCTTTATATCTTTTTAGTATACAAAATGAACCAAATGCAGCTAATATTCACATTATTGCGGATCTTTATGCCGAAGTAATTGGAGTTTTGGCGCAGTCCAGATTCATGTCAGTGAGAAAGCGGTTTATGGTGGAATTGAAAGAATTACGCGCTAAAGAGCTAGGCCCACATACTACGCAGAGTATTATTTCTCTGTTGATGGGAATGAAATTTTTCAGAGTTAAGGTAATTAGTTTATCGAGCTAAAAAAAAAATAATTTGAAATATGTATACTTTAAATTGCACGTCATATTTCTAAATTTTGTGTTTATATTCTTTATTATATATGATGTATATATATTTTTTTCAGATGGTACCAATAGAAGAGTTTGAGGCATCATTTCAATTTATGCAAGAATGCGCTCAATACTTCTTAGAAGTAAAAGACAAAGATGTGAAGCATGCCTTAGCTGGTCTGTTTGTCGAGATATTAGTTCCCGTTGCTGCTGTAAGTATTTCAAATGATCAATTTCGCATCTTTTTATGTATTATTATAATTATTTACATTTTATGTTTCAGGCTGTGAAAAATGAAGTGAACGTACCATGCTTGAAAAACTTTGTAGAAATGCTGTATTCAACAACATTGGACATGTGTACAAAATCCAAACACAGGCTTGCACTTTTCCCTTTAGTAACCTGTTTGCTCTGTGTTAGCCAGAAAACATTCTTTTTGCAAAATTGGCACTACTTTTTAGCAATGTGTCTGTCTCACTTGAAGAATCGCGATCCAAAAATGTGCCGAGTTGCGTTAGGTAAGATTAAAATACAAATCTTATATATATAATTTTTTTTAGAAAAAAACGAGAATACGAACGTGCATATTCTTATATTTATCATGTTACAGAGGCTTTATACCGTTTACTCTGGGTTTACATGATACGAATCAAATGCGAGAGCAACTCAGCTACGCAAAGCAGACTACAGAGCATAGTAAATTCTCTGTTTCCCAAAGGATCGAAAGCAGTAGTACCGCGAGATACACCGCTGAATATTTTTGTCAAGATCATCCAATTCATCGCACAGGAGAGATTAGACTTTGCGATGCGCGAGATAGTGTTCGACTTGCTGTCCGTCGGTCGACCGGTGAAGATAATTTTAACTCCTGAACGTATGAGTATCGGACTTCGGGCATTCCTCGTCGTAGCTGACAGTTTGCAGCAAAAGGAGGGAGAACCGCCGATGCCTCGCACTATGGGCGTACTGCCAAGTGGAAACACCATGCGTGTGAAAAAGACATTCTTAAACAAAGTACGTACAATCGACACATGGTCTTTATGCGTTTATTGGAACACGTAGCATGTGAATAATAATTTAATGTGCTTTTGTAACATAGATGCTGACAGAGGATACCGCGCGAAGCATAGGAATGTCGTCATATTTCCCACACGTACGCCGAGTGTTCGTCGATATCCTACGTGCGTTGGACGTTCATTATGGCAGGCCTCTCATGATGACCAGCACTCAGAATATGAACAAAGAACCGGACGAAATGATCACCGGAGAGCGCAAGCCTCGGATAGACCTCTTTCGAACTTGTGTCGCCGCGGTGCCGCGATTGATTCCCGATGGAATGACTGGTGCTGAATTGGTCGATTTGCTGTCTCGCTTAACGGTTCACATGGACGAGGAACTGCGCGCGTTGGCGTATCAAAGTTTACAAACCTTAGTGTTAGATTTTCCCGACTGGCGACAAGATGTCATCCTCGGATTTACGCAGTTTCTAGCTAGAGACGTGCAAGATACATTCCCGCAACTTGTAGACAATGGTCTTAGGATGCTGTTACAACTTCTGACATGCTGGAAAAACGCTTTGACGAGTCCCAGTATAAGATCCAAGGAACAATCGGTGGATAATACGCGGGTGAATATACGTATTGACGTTGGCATCAAGAAATGCGAATCAGGCCAGGTTTGCATTTATGCAGAAAATGTTTTATTTCTATGCAATACATACAAACCTCTCGTGTTATATTTACAGAAAGTGGAGCCTGTGTCGAATATATTTTATCTGGTGGAAGGATTTGCCTTGGTTATGCTCTGCAATTGTCGTCTTTATCCTCGACGACTAGCTGTTCATATACTTCGCGAAGTTAAACTTCTGTTGAAGACTCTGGGTAACTATACAGAGTTATATAAATTATACACATGCAACATGTTCTAAGTGGATGCATATTTTACGTATGTCTCTTTGTTTTTTTAGGAGCACCGGAAGATGATCAGCCTGTTATCGATGTGATCGATTCTTGCTGTCCTGCTGTTTTGGAAAAGTGTTATCCTATGCTGCCGCCGGCTGAAAAAGCGGCGGCTGCGTCTACGTCTAACGTGGATCTGCAATGGATAGCGGACAGAAGTAGTTGTGTTTGGACAGCTGGTAATATTTTGTTTTATCATCCTTTTGATGTAGGCAACACGTTTATCACGTTTCTATATTTATTTTATTTATTATATTTACGTTGCAGGATTTCATGATGAAAATAGCACTAAGAGTTCTTCATCGCTTAATCTAAACGGTGCCGATCCATGGGCTAGTTGCTTATTCGCTTTCTTAGAAAAGGATAGAGTTCTCACGCTATGCCCGAATGCAGTGGCTCACTCGTGGCCAATTGTCTTCAGTCGCATAAATTCTCTATTTTCGGTGGTAGATCCTACGTAAGTTTTTGTAACTGTACTATCAATATTTTCATTTCTTAACACTTGAATTTTGGACTAATTTAAATTGGTTTTCTTGCAGTCCAGTAAATGATAACCGGGCCTCGTTACTGAGAAGTTCTACGACAGTCAGAAAGCCGGTGAATGAGAGAGATGTCTATATGCATATTTGGAAGAATTATCTGACTTTTGGGTACAGAGTTGTGCCACCTGTGCCGAATCCAGTTGTTCGATGCGCCAGTCCGGATCTCAGTCTCAGGTAGGTCAGCATATAGCTACTCATATCGGTAATTTCAATATCATATTATTCATCATTATTATTTAATTTTTTCGAACTTAATAAATTATTCATGCTTATTATGTACTACTCGTTAAAGTATGTGTAAGCGCGTACATTGATTCGCCGGTTGCAACTGCAATTATATTGGTAGCAAAGATACTACGTTCAGGTGTAGCTGCACCGACGGAAACTATGCACACGTCTTACGTTTGCGTTAGCTTAAGTGGAATTAATTTTGATAAAATTTTCCGGTTTATTAAAAGGTCATGTTTAGCTAAATAATAAATTAGAGCTTTAAGTGTACCTTTAAAAGATGTAAGTCACCGAATAGAGTCAATATCACTTGGTATTAATTGGTGTTGGATCATACATTGTCCATTATTTCACAGAAATGCTAATTGTCCACTTATATGTCTCAGGCAATCTTAGTAATTAATCCGGAAATAGGCGCGCTCCGGTCATTTCGTCGCATTTATTAGTTTTTTTTTTATTATATTTATACTAATTTGTTAATCTCATATTTTATCTTTCACGTAAATTTTTTTAGTTTTTCTTTGCATAGTATAAGAAAGTAGAACAAGTTTATTTCTATATGAACACGTAAAATACGATGTGAATATGTGTATTTTTATACAAACATATGATATAAATCGAAATTTTAATTTTATAAATTTTATTTATTTCTATAAGTTTTTTAACACACGTATAATTTTTATTATTATGTTACTAATATATTTCATTAATACATTTATATTTGCCCAATGAAAATAAAATTAATTTAAAAAGAGAAGTGAGAAGAAGTAGAGAAACCAGAAAACGAAAAAAAATGTTATTAAAAAAGTTAATAAAATTCTTTTGATACGATACTTTAAATTATTAGAATATTTTCTATTAATTGCTAAATTTGTTATATTACATGTTTGTAACGATACTTAGTACGATTAAAATGACTGGGACACGTCTACTGACATCTACTAACGTTAGTCAAATTCATGTGTCTCCCGAGTTAATTCCTAGTAGACTTGTGTCAAATATCTTATTGTAGAGAGAATTACATAATAATTTATAAGTTTCTGATAAGTATTGATCTTTACATTCTGCACTGGCATAACTATCGGAACTATGTTTTTATAATACTTAAAGACTAAGTGTTGCTCCGTTAAATCTACTGAATAATACGCACATTTGTTAAATGACATATTAATGTGTCAATTGGTGAAGTGACGATTCTATGCTGAATAAACTGACACCAATTTGTACCAAATTCGCGCTTGGCATTCGGGAGCGGATTCCGATTTGCTTTGTCCTCCTCTATGCTATACACTTCGCTTTATTTTTCGCAACACCACATCTCTCGCATGCTGTCTCCTATCACTGTATCGTACATGTACATCTCTCTTTCTCTCTCTCTCTCTCTCTCTCTCTCTCTCTCTCTCTCTCTCTCTCTCTATCTATCTATCTATCT